AAAGCGTTCATTGCTATTTGATAGAGGCATAAGCGTTATACCTTTTCTGCAAACCATCATGTAAATGAGCCACATGATAAACAAATTTAGAAATCGTCTGTACTTATATCATTATGGATTAAAGTATCCCTGCTAATCTACTTTTTCTTGATGTTAAACTAAAAACCAAATATGCAGAAATATGCAGTAAGCTTTTGTTCTTTTATGTGATATATGATAGATATCAATTTAAGGTGAGCCAGATTTTAAGACTTATCTGGTAAATTTCCATGTGGAAAGCAAACAGTGTTATCAAGTGATTTCGTCTAACAAAAATACTCTCCATGAAAAAAGTCCGATAACTTTCTTTGCTGTTTGCAATACTACTAATTCAAAATGTAGGCTGTCATTAAGTTTAAGTTGTTTCAATCATTCTGATCCTTGATACAAAACAAAATGTATGATATCCTATCTTTTACAGTTGAAAGTATTTATTCTAATATGAGCTTGCCGCTCACAAATTGGGACATATTCTCACTTAATAGCGCACTCTCTGTGTGAAGAAATTGCACAGCAAATCTTGATCGTAAAATATATCTTCTGGAACGATTCAACATTTCTGTCTCGAATTCAATAAAAGCCTTCTCGACTCCCATGTCTTCTGCTCTATGTTCCACCAGAGATTTCACCAAGCTGACTGCGTCCATAAGTGCCTGATTGGCACCTTGACCTTTGAAAGGGCTCATTGGATGTACGGCATCGCCTAACATTGTTACACATGCCACATCTTTTTCGATTGCCTCCAACGGATCTCGATCGAATATAGGACCGGCACGAACATCACTAACGCATGTATCATCCATTAATTTCGTTATAGGTCTATACCAATCCTTCATAGTATGTTTAGCTTTGTTCAGTAATCCATCCAAATCATTTTGACTGAGTTGATTATAGATATCATCGTCTCTTGATACTTTAAAAGTAAGTTGCCACATACATTTATCGTCCGAGAATGGCTTTATGAACAGGCGTGATTTTCCGTCAATCATCTGTATAGTCTGATTTAGAAGAAATAGATCGTTGTGATGAGGCGAAATTCCGTTGATGGCCCATACTTCAAGATATCTCAATTCATCGCCTATCATTTTTTTACGGATAGAGCTACGGACTCCGTCACATCCAATTAGCGCACGACCCACTATTGATGTATCATCAGAGAAAAGGATTCGAACGTGCTTGGGATCTTCGGGTATAGCGTCGTATCGGGCAATTTCTTTGTTCCATTGGATAGTGTCTTTTTTTAATTCGTTGATTAAACATTCGCGAAGAGATTGTCGCGGAACAACGAAATTGTTGTAGTGGTGCCTGTTGCTAAATTGTTTTGTTTTCGACATGAGAAGTTCACCCAAATTGTTATATGTGGACATTCCGGATATGATACAATTGCCTCCCATTTTTTGCACATGTTCACCTATACCAAGTTTTTCCAGCGCTTCGAATCCATTTTTTTGAATTGTTAGACTATAGCCTTGGCGACGAGAGTTGAAGTTGTGATCACGTTCGTAGATTTGACAGGAGAAACCGTTCTTTTGAAGTGCCACTGCTGTGGCAAGACCACCGATACCACCACCAACAATGATGAAAGTATCTAGTGTTTGCATTTTCGTTATAATTCTAATTCAATGGTAACGAAGTCCTTGAAGTTGCAGAGTTGAAAACAGTAATCGTATCACACTAAAATAAAATGTGTCGTATATATGTGTCGTACAAGAATGTGTCGCAGACTCCATTATAAAAATGTGTCGTACAAAAATGTGTCGCATTATAGATGTGTCATAGCCTATATGTCAATCGTTCATTCACCGTTTTGTTTCGCGAGTGCAGCTGCATATAACCGAGCCTATTGGACGTACTTGACTTATACATTTT